TCCCCTTCCAAATTAACTGCCCAAATTACGACACTTCACTTAACTTATTGTTAATTTTATATATTTATTTACCCAATGATATATATTTTTAAAATTAAATTTATATATATTGAATTTTACATACGTACATACGTACATACATACATACATACATACATACATACATACATACATACATACATACATACATATATATATATATATATATATATATATATTCTTTCCGTCGTTATTTTTTCGTTAGTATTAAAATTAGTGACGGTTTTTTAAATCCGTCGCGAGGCAATTTAAAGAGTTGAAAAAATACAGAGAGTAATTAATTTTTATGGTTTGTTTGGGGTAAATTTCAAGAATGGTATCTAAATTTTCACAAAAATTTCGATTTGGTATCTAAAATTAAAAATAGTTTACAAAAGTACCAGAACTTTTACCATTCTTTCAATAATAGTTCAATTGCCCATAACCAAGTGACTAGCAGGACAATTCGGGCCATATTGAAAATCTGAATTTTTATTTTTCTCACATTGGCCTCATTTCTTTTTTTTCTTGTCCTTACACTCCCATAATTTATATTCTTTTCTTTTTCAACCTACTCCCCTTTCTTTCTCCCCTTTCTTTTTCCCCTCTTTTCTTTTATTTTTGTTTTTTTCTTTCTTATCTATTTTCTTATTTGCTACGGAGTATTTTTTATCTTTTCTTATGCTTCTTTTTTCTTTTGATCCCTTTTTAACTCTCTATTTTTTATTTTATTCATCCTCACTTTTTATCATTTCTTTCCTTTTTTTTATTTTCTTTATTCTGCCCTCTTTATTTTTTTCCTTTTTAAAAACTTTTTTAGAGTTCAATTGTCTTTGTTTGTTTCCGTTTTCTATTTTTTTCTTAAGTTCCTCTTTGAAATATTTATTCATTACTTATTGTTTTTTTGCATTTTCTCATTTCTTACTTTTTTGTTTTGTTTATTTTTTTATTTATCTTTCTTTTATATTTTATTTATATGTTTCATTAATTTTTTCTGTATCTTTTCTGTTAATAAGTGTGTTAATTTATATTTAATCACTTTAATTTAATTAAACAAAATATCAAACAATGTCTTAATTTTTTATTTTTTTATTTGAAATTTTTTGTTTGTTAACTTTTTTGTCTTTTTCAATATTTAATGTAAATAATTAAATAAATTAAGTGAATAAAATAAGCCCTTAATAAATACATAAAATGAAAAAAAACAAAAAAAGACGACATATAATTTTAAAAATAAAAAAATAAGGCATATAGTACCATTTTTGTTTAATTAAAATTTTGAATAAAATGACATGAATTAATAATATAAAACAAACCGAAATAAGAATAAGTTAAACAGAACAAGAGACAACCATACACACGAAGAAGAATGAATCCAAGTTTAAATTAATTTTTACTTTTTTTGTTAAAAAATATAAATAAATAACAAACAAAATGATAAGAATGAAAAAAAGATTAATTACTTATTTTTATTTTAATTTTACTATTTTTCAAACATTACAATTTTTGTTTGTCGTTCTCATCCTTTTATTTAATTGGCTTACTCTACTTAATTACTTTCTTTTTATTGTTTACAAAAAAGATTGATAACAAACAAAAAATTGAATAAGACAAACAAAAAACATAGTAAATATTATTTTTGAATTAAATTGAACAAGAAAATAACACCCATTAATTAATAAATTAAAATAACCGAACAAAGAATAAGTGGCACATTAATGAGAACAATCCAAAACATGAATCTAAATTTCAAATAATTTCTTACTTCATTATGTTTTTTTAAATTTTCTCTTGCCTTATTTTTTTCATTAGTTATCTATTTATTGGGCTTATTTTATCCACTTATTTTTTAGTATTATTTGAAATAAAGATTAATAAACAGATAAAAAAGTTAACAAACAAAAATATTAAATAAAAAACAAAAAATTAAGACATATGGTTTGATTTTTTTGTTTAATTAAATAGGTTAAATATAAAGTAACATAGTTATTAACAGAAAAGATAAAAGATAAAGAAAAAAATAAAGAAAGAGATAAATAAATGAAAAAAGAAATAGAAACAAAAAAGAAAACAAAGAAAAAAAATAAGAAATGAGAAAAGAGGGAAAAGGACTAAATAATAAATAAAGATTTCAAAAAGGAACTAAATAAAAATAGCAAACATAAACAATTAGAAAGAATATAATTGAAACCGTGAAAAAAAATTATTAAGGAAAAAAATAAAGAAAACGAGGACAAATTATCAAAAGAAAAATTGAAGCAAAAGAAAAGACGGAAAAAATAATGAATAAGAAAAGAAAGAAAAAACAAAAAATAAAAGAAGGGGGGAGAAAGGAGAGAGAAAAATGGGAGTGAGTTGAAATAGAAAAGAGTATAAATTATGGGAGTGTAAGGAAAAGAAGAAATGGGGATCAATGTAACAAAATAAAAATTTGGATTTTGTAATTTGGTCCAAATTGACATTGTTGGTCACCTTATAATGGACAAATGAACTTTTAGAGCATCTCCAATGGGTATGGTAAATTTTGATAGTGTATATTGTATTTTACACTACCAAATGTGTTTTAGCATTCCATTTTTCATAGCTCCTCCAATCATTTCTCTTAAATAATACACTTTTTTATATATAATATTATTTTTAAAATATTTATTTGTAATAATATTTATATTTTTAAAATTTTTATGGTACATGCATTTCAAACTATACATATATTGAGTATTTTTATAAGAAACAAGAAATATAAATGTATTTTAATAAATTTATAGAAAAAATGAATTTACAAAATGGGAAAAGCATGTAGTGTTTTAATACAAGATGAGACTTGCTTTTTACAATATAGTGTTAATTTTGCCCTAGCCATTGGAGTGACAATTTTGCTATAAGGTCTTGTATATAATGTATTTTTTACAATATACAAGACACATTGGAGTTGCTCTTAGTGAAAAGATAGTAAAATTCATGTATTTGTTTGGTGAAATATTTTGAAATTCGTGTACTAAATTAAAATTTTCGTGAAAGTTGAGGTACTATTCTTAAAATTTTCCGGTTTGTTTGGATGAAGAGAGAAAATGAGATAAAAGAAAGTAATAGGAAAGAAAATGATGAGAGAAAAAACAATGTTTGGATGGATAGAAAATAATAAGAAAATAGTGAGAAAAGAGAAAAGTTGGCTTTGGAAAAGTCTAGACATAGATTCTACATATTAATTTTTTTCTTAACTTTTCTGATTTATTCAAACATGAAAAATTGTGTTGAATTATATTTTCTCATCTCTTTTTTCCTCTTTCACCCATTTTCTCACCAACCAAATATACCATTAATGTGATTGTAGACAAAGAACTATCAATGCTTAGCTTCCCCTAAATGTGAAACATTTTTACACAACCCTTAACGTTTTCGCCTACGGAGTATGTTTCTACTCCCTCCGTCCCAAAAAGTCTTTCCTGTTTCATTTTTTGCGCATCCCATAAAACACTTATATCCCGTTTTGAATGCAAAAAACTTTCAAAATAACTTCTACCCACAATAAAGAAGAAATGTTGTAAATTTTAGGCATTTTAAATGTCGGCAGAAGTGTTTTATGAGATGCGTAAAAAATGAAACAGGAAAGACTTTTTAGGACGGAGGGAGTATTACTTAAATCCCAGTTTTTTTTAATTCTTTTTTATGGAGTAATTTTTAGGATATTTGATCTTCTCATTTGAAAATATTCTTATCACTTTACTTTTTTTTTCCCGATTCATAATTTCAAATATATTTGATTTTCACATTTATTTTTTAGTCTAGTTTTTAATGGTAAATGTCAGTAATACGAATTAATGCTAGTTTTCCGCAATAAATAGGGACGGGTTGAATTCGCAAGCGCTAAAACAAATTCGCATGTGATCCACATATAGGGGGGAAAGCAATAAAGTGAATTTTTAAAAAAACGCTCTACGGCTCTACGCCACTCTATCTGTAGATTTCACTTCTTTAAATTTAAAAACGAGGTGCACTGTGCACACGCAGGGAGGCGAATTAATTGGTGAATATCAATCTATTATTTGTCCCACGAATTAAATAACCATCCAATTTTCTATATATAAACATATAAATCATGTTGATATAAATTGTCACTGTTTGTACTACCCCATTTTTTAAAATCATTCATATTTTGATTTTCGGCCAAAATAAGAGATGTATATTTATAATTAACTTTCTAATTTTTGCGATTGATATGATGTGTAAAAATAAGATAGATAGATTATTAATTGAAAAGTATGCTGAGATATATAAGATTAAAAAGCATGGGTAAAGGAAATGGTTTTTTCAATAGAATATAAAAACATTTTGGAAAAAGAGAAAAAAACTACTCCCAAAAAGATAAAGTTTTTTCAAAAAAGAGAGTGAACAAATCATTGTTAAAACCATGGTCGTGGTCTCTTATATTTCCTCCGAGTATCGAGATAGGCGATCAGTCTCTTTACGAAAGAACTACTATCACCACACTTTCGGTCAATAATTTTCTAAGGTTTTAGAGAAACCCCTCAATTCTTTCACGTGGTTCCATTTAAGGACGGATGTTGCAAACTTTTAGTCTTTAATATTTATGCACAACGGTTCTTTTGATAGAGAGTACCGTAGGGCTCAAAATTGGTTCCGTGGAACCATTAATCCCTCTCCATTTAGCGAATGTAAAGAGGGGATTTGAGGGTCAGAGGGGTTGGAACCACTTTCGAGCCTAACGAAACATTGTAAGCGTCTTAGATGGATCAATGTTATAATATTACAACGGTTCTTTATGATAGTCTATGTATAATTCTCAGCTTCTTGTATTGAGTTATTTGGTGGGTTCTAAGTCTCTAAAATGGACTCATATACACCTCTCTTGTATAATACGGAGTAACATGGGTTTCTCCTCTTGTGACCTTGGGGACTGTGTTAGCCAATCACATTAATATTGTGGAACTTGAACCAAAAAAAAATCAGTAAACATGAAATATAATAAGCAAAATGCTTTATTTCTGCACTTATCTGAAACCTTTCAAGGCTGCTGCATTACATGGCCAGGCTTGGGAGACTTACTTTTACTATTTAGCTGAGAATCCCATGAGGATGAGGATGAGGATGACAATGACGAACGGTGCTTGTTCCTACCGTAAGACTTTGGCAATTGGAGCTGTTCCAAGATATCCAAGACGTAGGCCATGTCCGGGCGCCTTTTGGTCTCAGGACGGGTGCATTGGAATGCAAGGTTGGCTGCAAAATAGGCTGCGTTCCGAGGGTACTGCCCCTCTAACCGGCTGTCCATGATTCTTGACACTGCCCGTTTCTCGTGCAGGTATGGCCTTACCCATTCGATCAGACTGTGGCCTTGGCCCAATGATCTGTCCATCACCCTTCGTCCTGTTAGAAGCTCAAGCAATACCACCCCGAAGCTGTACACGTCACATCTTGCTGACAGCCTACCTGTCACATATTTTAGTGAAACTTGTTAAACTTTGGCTTTGGGGTTTTAGTTGACAAGCTCATACTCCCTTTATCTCTAAAAGTCTTTCTCATTTTGATTTTTAAGGAATTTAAAGGAAGGATATTTGAGCTTTGACTTTTCCAAATTGCCCTTGATGTGATGAGTAAAAATAGAATGTGACGACCAGTAGTATTGAATACATACGATGTGATAGGTAGGGTAAGAATTAGTAGTGGTAAAAATGACTTTTTAATAGAAAGTGAAAAGACTTTTTCGGACAGGAAAGAAGTGAAAGGGGAAAATCTTTTAGGGACGGAGGAAGTACGTTTTTAGCAAAACTTATAAAGTTTGAATTTTTAGGAAAATATTTTGGAAAAAAATGCTTGTATTTGGGTTTGGAGTATCTTCAAAACAACCTCTCTACTGCATAGTATGGGTAACGTTTGTGTACACACGCTCCCGAGATCCTACTTTTGTAGGATTCTACTGGGTTTGTTGTGTATTAATGAAAATCCAAATGGGCCGGAAGGATCGGAGTAGTACCTTTCAACAAGTAGATAATCCAAGAACAGTAATGTGATTGATTAATGAATTGCTAACCTGTACTCATGTATTCAGGGCAAGTATACCCTTGTGTCCCCATAACCTGAGTGGATACATGGGAATGATCACCGGTTGGACCAAGCTTGGCTAAACCAAAGTCTGAAAGCTTTGCATTAAATTCCTGCTTCAACAGAATTAGAAACATAGTTTACTAAACTTCATTCAAAGCATGGGGGAGGTAATAAGAAGAAGATAGATTCCTAAATAAGCATACCGAATCTAAGAGGATATTTGAAGCTTTAAAATCACGGTATATAACTTGAGGACCACAGTTGTGTAAAAATGAGAGTCCCCGAGCAGCCCCTACAGCCGCCTTCATCCTTTTCTCCCATGAAAGAGGTGATGTTGTCTTCCCTGCACACAGAATAGCATTAGATACAGTACAGTCATACAGATGATGCTCAACTCCTTTGATTTAGCTTCTTAACTTAGACTGCTTCAAAGATTTCAAATTGAAATCTTTCCCCACAAGAACAAAAGGGGACTGAACGAACACTTGCATTTAGAGTCTCTTGTAATGTCACACTGCAAGAGTTTTCTCATTTAAGCGCTAAAACTGTTACTTTTCAAGAAGTTCCAAACTGGTATAGTATATTACTCCGTATTAATTAAGTAAAAACAAAAAAGATTTTTTTTTGCCCAAAAACTCTAATTAGATGTTTTCTTAAATAGGCACATAAAGATACTGTATTTCCCTAAAAAGTTGGTATTTTTTCTTAAATTAACACAAAAAGTGTTTTTGTAGAACTACAGACATTTCCTTGTCAAACCCTTCTTAACATAACTAGAATATTTTTCTTCTTCGACAAACCAGGTATACCTTGAAAGTAGGTCATCTCAAATTCACTAGTTGATGAAAAGAAATAGCCTACAAAAGTAGAGTTTTCGGCTTACTTCTGAATAGATGGCTTTCTAAGCTCCCTCTGGGCATGAATTCATACACTAATAACCGATGATCGCCTTCCAAGCAGAAGCCAATAAGTTTGACCAAATGTGGGTGATGAAGCTGTCCCAGGAATTTCACTTCTGACTGCGAAAAATACAATTGGAAACTTTTAAACAATAACAATAACTATAAAGAAAATAAAATATGGTCCTAGGGAGTTTAAGAAAAAAAGGGCTCACCAACCACTCCTTATGGCCTTGAACACCTTGAGGCTTTAGTCTCTTAACAGCAACTGCCCTTCCTGATCCAGATTTTGAAGCAATTAAGGCATCCCTATCTAACCATCCCTTGTAAACACAGCCAAAGCCTCCTTCACCAAGAAGGTTACAGAAGTTTCCCGTGGCCTCCTCAAGAACACTAAACAGAAATGACTTAAGGTCTGGCGATGATAATATTTCAAGTTCAGATTTTGGAGTTGGAAGACTCCCCCCTCTGCTATGCAATGACGATGACTTCTCGGAGCCAGTTGGAACTGGCAAAGGGTGACTCTCATGATCTCTGTTTTCTGATTGGCGAAAACATAGCAACATCAACAACATATTTTAGAGCCAGACATGTCAGTGTCCACCCACCCCCAGACCTCATTTGTGGGATGACACTTGGTTGTTGTTGCACACATAATGTCTACTTTTACTTCTTTGTTTTCAGAACCATACACTACGCTAGCTCTAATGAATAAAGGAACAAGTAAAACCAATTCCCCTTGGGATAAATCAATTGGATCATAAAATATTATAACTTGAAACTATTAAACAAAATTATGCCCAAAATCAATACGAGCACGAATTGCACAATAGTATGAGGGAATTTCCATAGAAACGGTAGATTCAGTAAAGAAACCAAATTGCACAAGAAAATCGATAGCACGAAAAGGACGCAAATTGCACAAAGCAAATTCAACAATGATCTGTATATGCCGAGAGAGAATTACCAGTAGATGTAGTGCCAGTGGTTGTTGAGGCAGAGGCAGGAATCCAAAAGCTTCCAACTTTTGGGGTTTCGCAAATACGCTGAGGCCTTCTGAAGCAATTCCCCATTCCGGAAGATTGATTGTCTCTCGGAATTCGAATCGTATGTCAAAATAATTCAGAGAAGTTGGCTCTTCATGCCCGGCCCCTCCTCCTCCACCTCCATCTACAGAATTCATCGAGAAGGAGGAGAAGGAGAAACGGAAACAGGGCATAGAGAGGGAGGATTTGATTTTGGGTGAATTATTTTTTTTCGTCGCGAAGATGAGATGAGAGGTTACGTGCCGTGCCATTTTGGGGGAAGGGCTCATATGGCGGGAGAAAAAAAAATAGTACCCCTCCCTAATTTATATAGACTTTTTCAGTTTACGATATTTGACTGAAACTATTTTTAAATTATTCTATATAAAAATAGTGTAGAATTAAAAATAAAAATTTCATATTAAAATTTGACTTTTAAAGATCTACTAAACCAATGGTGGTATTATTATATCATTTTATCCAACGACTAACGAAAATAAATAAAGAAAGTGAATGACATTCGACGATTATAATTATCAAGTCTCACATTATTTTAAATATACTCCAGCGTATCTTTAATTTTCCAGTAAGAATTTTTAAGCCCACATTATCTTAAATATACACTCCAAGAATCATTAAAATTTGTAGTAATGTACTCTGATGGTACATTCCAGAAAATGAGTCGGGTCATTCCATTTATCATTTAATTATTACACATGTTTGTAAAAATTAAATGACAAATGAAATGTACAACCCAACGTTGATGAAAATAAATGTTAAAAATGATGTTTATTTGTGTAGGATCCACTCTTGAACATCTTTATCTAAAAGATTTGAAATAAGATCAAAACGTAACAAAATAGTGAAAAACCAGGAATATGATGGCAATGTCGTATAGAGCTAGAACTATGACGACAGTACGAATAGCTAAAATTTATAATACTTGCCGCTCCGACGACCTCATGGTGGAGCCGAAAATGCTTAGAGATGTCACTAGTCCCCAAAAATCGCCTTTTATTATTTTAAAAAAGATTACAAACAAACTGCATTTTCACAGTTAGGGTTTAGGGTTTTGGTACGAAGCAATTCGTGTTTGGGCACCCTACTTGGAACGAATGTGGTGGGGGGTGGAGAATGCAAATGCCAAATGTACATTTGTCACATACAAAGCATTTTTTAGCACATACCCCAAATGATAAATATGATTAATGGAGTTGGGTACGCACTAAACTGCCAGAGTTGAAAGGGGAAACATTCTTTACAAAGGTTAATTGGGTAACTACTATATATATATTCCTCAACAAACCAGTTTGCACTTGCATTCACACTCACATATATCTCTCTATATATATAAATGTCGTTCTTCATAACCGCTTCCCGGACTTTGATCCTCTTCGGGCCTGCAAGGAGTCGGTATGTATGTATGTATGAAAGATGAATCAATACAACGAAACCTATGTGCCTACAGGTAGGATTATATAATTTGTGTAAAAGAATGGTCATTCAAACGAACATGCGCTTATTGGCACAACTAGCTTGCAAAAGAATGTGTCATTCAAGGGATTTTTTTTTTGTGTAGCTAAAAGATCATTGGGAAAAAGTAGTATACCACCTCGTTAATAATCTCCTCGAAATCTGCGGTTCCATGTTCTGCAATGTACTTCCTTGCTGCAGTTAGGATGTCCTCTTGTTTGCCGAAGCGCGGCACATACCAGATGTTAATAGCTTCTCGTTTCACAATGTAGGGCCTGACAAGGTTTTCGTACACATATGCGGCACCGCTAAAGTAAGGCAAGACCAACCAGCATGTTACAATCAGTTTCACATATGACCAGATTGGGATCCTGACATTCACAACAGAAATCAAATCATGTGTGTCTATATATATAAACATCTATCCTTCACTTTCTCTCATACCATCTACACGTTGGAATGAATTAGTAAAACAAATATCATCCCTCCACACATTTAAAATCCCCCAACCAAACAAGGGCTTAATCATTATATTGCTTATTTGAAGTTGCATATCTCATTCAATGAAGTTCCCATTAAGTCTATAAACCCAAAGATTTCTCCCATTCCAAAACTAGTAAAACACATTACATGCAAAGCTTGCCTAGAGAAGCAAGTGTGAGGTGAAATTCTAGGGGATTTAGATGTCTTAAATGATACTCGCTTTTCCTATTTAGATGCCGATCAAAATGGAAAGAGCTTTTTCCATGCTATGTGGCAAAAATGCTCAATTTTAAAGCGTTGTGGTTGATATGAAAATTTTCTTACACAAGTGCATCTTACTATATACCTAGAAAAGTATAAATTTGTGCAAATACAGAGCATATCATATCAATATCCTGCAAGCGAAAACCAACCTTCGTTTTTGTAAATCAATTCAAGTGTTAGATGTATTAAAGAACACTTCTCCAATCCCAAAAAAGAGTCTTGTGTGTAATACTATTTTTAGTATCACAAACAGGCCTCTTTCTTTGGGACAGAAGTAAATATCAATAATACTACGAAACTATATCTGTTCTTGAGATAAACCGAGAATACCATTCAATGGCTTTGGCAAATGTAAGCTCGAAAAGGGTAATCATTGAATACAGAATCCAGTAGGTGAGCCATTGCTGATCATCTTCGGGACTTTTGGTCTCGATAGCCCTGACTGACTCACACCTGCCCATGTTAAAGCCCATTGCTCAAAATCAAAACATAAAACATGTTCACACATTAAAGAAATCATAAGTTAAGCAATAAATCACATCAAGAGTGAACCAGCAGGCGAAAGACTTCATCTTTAATGGAAAAAAAGAAGCAAGAAAACAGAATTCACACTTACAGAGGATAAACAAGACTAACAATGGGCCTGCAGATTCAAAGGAAAATCAAAGAAACTAGTGAAAACAAGAGAATATATATATATATATATATATATATATATATATATATATATATATATATATATATATATATATATATATATATATATAACCCATGAATATTTGGGGTTCAATCTCGACAACAAAGTCTAAATAAAACCAATGAATTTCAAAAGAAATTAAGAAGGGGGCAAGAAAAAATCACCCGAGGATCAAATCAAAGTTCTGGAGGATCAGTTTAGCTAGGGTTGCAACGCCGCTAGATACCATCTTCAAAGGGAAGAAGCAGCGAAATTGATTCTCTTTTTGTTACCTTCTTCTGCGCGAGCTGAGATCCTCAAGAGGGTTATGTTACTGATGTATAGCTGATTAATCTATATTTAAGAGCTAATATTAGTCACGACTCACGATTACTCCGGCGATTCTTGAAGAAAGTCCGGCGAAAAGAAGAGAAAAACAGTGTAGCGCGACTGTCGAGGTCGGCTTATAGGAAAGTGTGAAACTTCAAAACTAGTACTCTTTCCTTCCTTGTTCATCTCACTTTTTTTATGTGCTAACAATTGCAAAATATAATTTTTCATTTTTTACAAAAGACTCAAATCTTTTATATTACCAATATAGTAAGATTTAGTATAAAATTAAGATGAACTTTAAGATTACGAAGTTTTTTGTATTTTTCTAATTAACAAGAGTGTGATTAAAATAATACCGAGAATTGAAGTAAAAATATAAAAAAATTATAGATAGAAGTAAGATTTAACTCACATACTAAAATAGAAGTTACCTAGTTTAAATATCTAAGTAGAAGTATAATGGAAGTATGATATAATACACAAGAGTGTGATGGAATAGTGCTAACTGTGTAATGTCGCAGTGTGAATGTCTCATAGTCAATTATAACTTGAACATCTACTAATATCGGCAAGACGGAAATCGATACTGATATTTTGGTGATCGACAGTGTAACAGCGTGGTTAGTGTGTCAATGTAATAATAGTTGTGTGAATTTTTATTTTTGTTCCAAAAGTCTTAAAACTCCTATTTTAATATTTTTATTTTTTTTACTACTTCGTATTAAGTTCTCCCTAAATATAAACATTATACAAAGTTTTTTTCAAAATAGTAGACATTATATTATTAGTAATGCTTATTTTAAGTAATGATTTTACAAAAGTAATTTTTAAATAGTCCCCAATTACAAGTAATTTTTCATATTTAGTCTTTAATTATAAGATATTATACATATGATTCTCAATTTTTCAAATTAAAATTATTCCATAAATGGGCTTTTAGGCTAAATATGACAAATTATGGATTCTACTATAGTCCTAAGACCATGTTTTCTTCAATTTATTTTTATTACTTAGTGCTTTTTATTATTGAAATCAATTCAGATAAGTGAAAATTACACTAAATAGGACTAAAATATAATGACTTTCCTAATGTAGGACTTAAACTTTTTTATTCCCTAAATAGGACTTAATAATGACCTTGTGGGAGGAATAATGTCCAGTAATGATGGACATTTACTTGAATAATGACTACTTAATAATGACCAAATATCCTACATTGAGAAATAAAAACATATGGTCCTATATTGGGAAAGTCATTATGTTTTAGTCCTATTTAGGTAAATTTCTCTTCAGATAAAATCAGACCAGATCATATCAAAAATAGTTTTAAATATAACTACATTTAGATCAGATCAGTATTTATTCCAATCAAATCAGAATCATTCAGATTAGGTGAAAAAGATTGTTATTATTATTATTGTTGTTGTTATTATTAATATTATTATTATTATTATTATTATTATTATTATTATTATTATTATTATTATTATATTTTGGCTTCATCATGTTCCTTCTAAGCTACAACATTCAGTTATGACATGGAAGGAGAGGAAAGCAAGACAACAACCATCTTCAACGCCTACTCCATCCGGCCGCTACAATTGTTCCTCTTTCTTCATTTGTTTATTTTTGTTAACCTCTTCTGTGAGCTGAGATCCTAGCTAGCTCAAGAAGATATATATATATATATATATATATATATATATATATATATATATATATATATATATATATATATATATATATATATATATATCTTTTT